TAATTTACGTACCTTTTTTCTATGTTATATAGAAAAATAGTTTTAATTTAATATCCTCATCATCATCATATCAGCTGTTAAATGTCCACTGCTGAACATAGGCTTACGGGGGGGAAAGGGATTGTTAGTAATGGAGATTGAGAATTCCATTGCTAGCAATATACCCAACCAGGTGGACCTCCTCGCGATTTCCCCTGGAAACTATTATGGTTAATTCCTGATGAATTCATCATGATAGGCTAACTGGCCTGTTTTCATTCTCATCTATCACCCTTCACTGGTGCTCCGCCAGCGCATCCCGTTAGCGCAGGCGGGATTACCATACCATTTTCACTCATCAAAAAAAACATAGACTTACCCTTGAGACAGGATTGGCAACCACAATTAGGTTTTGATGATGTTTTAAGAAGGAAGCTGCCCATCCCTCGTCAATTAAGTTCTCCTAGTCGCTTCATACGACATCCACGAGATAAGAAGAAATGGCCCATGCTATGCCGAGACCTCGTAGCTAACTTTACTTGAACATGTTCAGAATTTATTTTAAATCATCCAAAATTCAATTACATTCCTATTTTAGTCTTATTGTATCCTTACAAATATTATAATATAAATGTGAAAGTGAGTTTGTTTGTTACCCGTTAGCGTCTTAACGATTTGACTAACATTATGAAATTTTGTATATACATACTATATGGAATGGAGAATTGAAGGGTCAAAGAAGGAGGTCAAAGAACATATCCCGGTGACGCAGACGAAGTGGTGGGCAAAAGCTAGTTTAAAATCCTTATATTCCTAGTATCTTCTATAAAATTTTGTCCGTATTAGAAGATATTGGTGGTTGAACGTAGATATAGCCTTACGGGTTGCAGAAATACAATAGGTAAGCAGCGGATTTAAGGAATTCCCCAATAAATAACACAATATAATGGATAAAACATTCATTTTGAACGTTTCACGCTGCATATTTTATTGTTTGTAATTGATAGATAGATCTTTCATGTGTGCTCCATTTGTTAGGGAAGTTTGTGTGGTGGTTTCCCCATTTGCCTTCCACACCGTGGTACACCAGCCAGAGTTACCTGTCTGCTGATATCTGGTCAAAGGCCCTTCCCGATAGATAGATAGATACTCTTTATTGTTTCTGCCAAAAGATTACAATAGTAAACTTATTATAAATATAAACAATTACAAGAAATAATCACAATGAGAAAACAATGGGCGACCTTATCGCTAAGAGCGATCTCTTCCAGCCAACCTTTGGATGGAGAGGTGTAATAATAAACAGTTTGATCGGAAGCATGATGGAAATCCATGAGTTGGAATGAGAGATCCGACGTTGCTATCTCATTCTATCTTACGGAATCGCTAGCGATATGGATTCTATCGATGAATTCGTTTGCCACTTGTCTAGAGAGTTTCTACAGAGGGAGACTTTGTACAAAAGTCGATTGCTTGGGTACCTCTGTTCCATTCGTGTTTCAACCGTGAAGCATGTGTTTGCATGGCTGTGTTTCGGTTTGAAGGGTGAGATATGGCGTGAATTTACTGGGTACAGAGGAATAACAGTCTTACTGTCCGACTTGATCCACTGAAACTGCGCAGAGATGTTGCATCTCTGTGCATCTTCTACCGAATTTATCATGGGGAGTGTTCTGAGGAATTGTTCGGATTGATACCTGCTGCTGATTTTCACCACCGTACAACCCGCCACAAACTAAAGTTTCATCCCAATCATCTGGACGAGTGGCGGTCTTCCACCGTGCGTTTTTTAAGGCACTTTCTTCCACGTACAACCATTCTTTGGAATCAACTTCCAGCAGCAGTATTTCCGAACCGATACGACAACATAACCTTCAAGAAAAGAGTATATTCCTTTTTAAAAGGCCGGCAATACACCTGCAATGCCGATGGTGTTGTGGGTGATCATGGGCGGCGGTAGTCACTTACCATCAGGTGAGCCGCATGCTCGTTTGCCCCCTGTGTTGTAAAAAAAAAAAAAAGGAATGGCAACACAGGGGGGTATCATGGGCGAAACAGTATACTCTGTTATGTCCATGGTACTGCTCATGTCTATAGGCGACGGTTACCACTTTCCATCAGGTGGGCCGTCAGCTTGATCACCATTCTAAGTTGTATAAAAAAAAAACTTGTCTAGAGGGCCATATAGTTCCCTCATTGTGTTCTATGTGAGACACCATGTCTACGCTATTTACGTTTTCTCATTGTAATTATTTCTTGTAATTATTTATATTTATAATAAGTTTACTATTGTAATCTTTTGGAGGAAACAATAAAGAGTATCTATCTATCTATCTATCTACGCCATACAGTAGTATTTACAGAGAACACATAAATATTTATTAATATCATTCTTTTTTTACAACACAGGGGGCAAACGAGCACGCGGCTCACCTGATGGTAAGTGACTACCGCCACCCACGATCACTCACAACACCAGCGGCATTGCAGGTGCACTGCCGGCCTTTTAAAAAGGAATATGCTCTTTTCTTGAAGGTTGTGTTGTCGTATCGGTTTCAAAATAGCTTTTATGTCATATATATTCACAGAATTAGTGTATGTATGTTTAATAATGTTTGAAATTGATATATGTATGTTAGGTATCAGATATAAAATATTTGAAACTGTTATTATAAGGTGCTTGAATAAGTTCTCGCTGTTTTCTAACAGATGGCGTTTCCAGTAATATAAGTGGATGATATTTCTGAAACGAACGCATTTTCAGGAAATACTGTTCGTATTCTTGAACGCCAGTGTGTTTCTGTTTGCCACAGTGATGGGCTGTACTTTGAGTGAGGTGTTGTGCACCACATTGTGTAAATAAAGCATTGATTTTCACAAAAAAAAAAAAAAAAAAAACAGCGAGAACTTATTCAAGCACCTTATAGAATAATAAAGAGCTGTTCGAATAATACTTTTTTATGTTTAAAGTTTTTTTTCTACGGCATAGTTTTTGTCATGAGATTTAACAGAAAATGAATGGATATGTAATACATATATTCTTTATTGCACTTGTAAGTTACATATAAAATAATGTATTTATAAATGTTGTGAGCAAGGGTGGACTTATCTCTGACAGAGATCTCTTCCAGTCAACCCAATACAGTGAGAAAGCATTTCGTTAGCGGGCAGCTGAAGTGCTACAACTATTAATACATATACAAATATACAGTTAAATAAAATATTAAAATATATAATAAAATATTACATAAATACATACACTATAAATATATACAATACCTACCTACTTATATAATAAATGTTAAAATAAATGAATATACTACTTACATTAGAAACTTAGTTTAATGATTTTAAGATTTGACAGTTTAATTAGAAAAATACAAAAAAAAAATATTACTCAAGGGAAAGAAAATGTGATTTCAACCTTTTCTTGAAAGAGGTAATAGAGGGACTCTCTTGTATGGAACATACAAGAGAGTCCCTCTAGTCCCTCTATAACAGGGAGTTTGTTCCATAACTGGACAGCTCGATACGATGTAATTAACTAGACGATAATATAAAGCTAATTATTAATAATTAATTTTTCTCGTATGGTCCCCGCATAGAATGAGCCACTCATTCTTTTCCTGTAGATGTCGTGAGTGACGTCTCAGGAAACTTAGTGATAGAGGTATATATAGGCAATAGCGTTCGTCTTAAAACATCTCTAAAAGCCTAACTGCGGTTGCCAAGCCGCCCGCCAAGTGTGGCAGCTACTGGCTGCTCATTATGGGAAAGGCTTTTGTCCATCATTGGACAGTTAACAGCTGTATGGCTATAATTATATTATAATAAGAAAAACAATAGTTACCTATTATTTTAATAAATTCCTATTGGAGTAGGTACTATAAAATTGTGTAAAATTTCAAATTGTTAACTTAACAATTCTTAAATTTTTATCAATAGTGTACACTTTACAGTTTCATTAATTTTTTTTTTTATTTACAGTACTTTTTTATACCACAAAGGTGGCAAAGAAGCATACAACCCGTTAGGTAAACAGCTATAGTAGCCTATGGACGCCTGCAACACTAGGGGTGTCACGTTCATATTCCATTCCACAGCCTGAGCGTTCGTGGGAGAAAATTTCTTTGAAACCACACTGTATGTGACCATTTAAGTTCAAGCATGCGAGGATGAATTCCTTCTTGATGGCGTGCGGTGCGATGATAAAAAGTGGATAACAAAATTAAAAATAATTTGAAATAAATAATACTATTATAATATTAATGCATAACACCATCCGGTATACCTACCTATGCATCACAAAATTTAATATCGAATACAGAGAAAAAAAAAAGGTCTGCTCCCATTTAGTGAAGTCCCTCTCCCCCGCATTCCTTATTCAACAACGTCCAAAAATTAAAGGCGTTGTTACAAGAAATAGCACTCAGACTGCGACGTTTGAACGCAACCCAGCTGAAATATTTCCAACGGTTCCGAGTGCTCTTATTTACCATCAGCTATAGCTCTATACCGGCACTGTGTTTGTTTTTTCCATTACAAAAGAACGGAACGCCTTGCGCTTGGTATAGCAATAATATTTCAATATCGCGAGATTGTTCCAACCCTAGTGGAGGCCAAAGTGATTTTCTCTTGTTCTGATTGGCCGCCGCAGACCGCTGGGGAGAGCGTTCGATATTCAAAAGCGGCGGTAGAAAAGGACAGGCACAGAACGAGTGCGAATTAGAGACGTGAGTTAGAATAGGACAGATACAAGTAAGTCGGCGTATGAATACTGCATGAACGCGAAAGGCCCGTATCAATAATACGTGCACGAATGAAATAATAGATTATTCGTTTGTTCAAATCGAACGTAAACAAAATGTAAGCATCCATTACTGATGCACCGTCCGCCGCGACCGAGGTACTTACGGGGTTTCGGGCGTGTTGGAAAGGGACAGGTATAGTTCGTTGCGTCGAGTTTCCGTCTAGTCTGTAGCAACAATCCGAGGACTATCTGTTTTTGTAGCAGTCGGCCGTCGGTTTTCACATTAAACGATCATTTTAAGGGCGAACCAATCAAACTGCAAATTTATACAAATTGATACTAAACGGGTTATATTAATTTTATAACAAAAATTAAGTGTGTAAATAAGTTTGAACGGAGTCGTAATTAAAACTAATTGGGTGTAATATAGCGATAATTATTTTGTATTAACGCGGGTTTTCGCCGGAATTTTGTCCTTTTCGACGTTTCGCACGGATTTCGGCGGTATTTTTTTTTTAAACTCGCACACCGGGAAGTGGACTTGTGTTCGAAATTTGAAAATTTAAACATGACCGTTGGTCATTCGCGTGATGTTTTATTAGCGAACCGACAATAAAGTATTTATTTTTTTATAAAGTGTATGAGAAAGTGTTTTTTTTTTCTACCGTAGTTTTAAGCGTTCTGTGTTCATAATTGTTAATTATAAATGGTTTACGATGGAGTGCTGAAGACGATGTCGATATAGGGGGCGGCCAGGGTTGGCCTTTTGAGGCCATGCTCAACAACCTCACAGCGACAGCTTTAGGAGGTAAGAAAGTTGTGCTAACCCTATTGTTACGTACATGGGAACTATCAATAATTTATCAAATAGTTTTAATTGTAAACAAGATTAAGTCGAGACTCAGTGGTCGATTGATGGGCAGCAGCGTCCCTCTTAAAACATCACTAAAGTCTAACTGCGGTTGGCAACTCGCCTGCCAAGCGTGGCTAGTAGGTACTTTTAAAACTCCCCTTTTTGGGAAAATCTACGTTCAGAAGTGAACAGTTAAGGCTTAATATAATATGATGATGATAGGGGAAAAAAAGCTTGTTAGGGAAGATGTCTAAAAGTCCTATTGCCTATCAGGTCGACCTCCACGCGGTCGGAAATCATCGTAGCTAATTCTTGTTGAATTCGTCACGATGGATAAACTGACCTGAGGGCCTACCATGAAATATTTTCCGAAATTTCGGGGACGAACGAAACAGATATTTGATGTTAAAATTACATAATACATGCCGTTTAAAATTATTAAAAATGTTAAAATATCGTTTCCCTGAACTATTAGGATAGGATTTATGATAAACGAAATGTTAATCTCCATTTACTGGGTCAATATCGGTACAAACAAAAACACGAAATTGGGCCCGAAAATTTGGGCCAGCGTATACTGATAATGTAGGCGGGGTTACCATTCCATTTTCACACATCAAAAAAAAACTAGAACTATTTAGAATTCTTTAGTTTTTATAAGCCAAATTCAAGCTGTTGTCCAAAAAGTTTAAAATGTAAAGTACACCGAGTCAATATATCTATCAAGGCAGTAGGTATGCACATGGATGCAACTGCCGAAGCATTATAACTTGATTGTTTTGAGGAACAATGGTACTACTAGGTTTTTTTTTAATGGATGATAATAGAATGGTAACCTCACTTGTGCTATCGGTATACACCGGCGGGGCACCAGTGAGAGATGATAAGTGAGGATGAAGCAGGTCAGTTAGCCCATTGTGACGAATTTAACAAGAATTAGCCACGATAGTTTCCAGAAGGAACCACGTGGAGGTCGACCTGACAGGGTATATTGTTAGCAATGTGGCTGTCAAACTCCATTACTAACAATCCCTTTCCCCCCGGTACTAATAGGTTGTTATGTTGATATCAACCGTTAACTGTATAGTGAGGATGAAGCAGGTCAGAATATACGAATTCAACAAGAATTAGCCACGATAGTTTCCAGAAGGAACCGTGTGGAGGTCGACCTGACAGGGTATATTGTTAGCAATACGGCTGTTAATAGTTGTCACGTTTGGTAAACCGTTACTGTATACTGGAATATAGCTTCCCCTAAAAGGGGGTTTTACCAATAGTTGCCACGTTTGGCAACCGCAGTTTAGCTTTTGGACATATTTTAAGAGGGACGCTGCTGCCCCTCCCTCCTCTATAAGCTCCCTTAGTCGCCTCTTATGACATACACGGGAAAAGAAGGGGTGGCCTATTCTATGCCGGGACCTACACAGTAACACTATTATGCCCCATGGGTAAATGGCAATTTATATCTTTCTTCATTCCAAATGGAATTTTCATGTATTTCAGTAATGCTTGATGTATTTATAAAATTAATATGAGATAAATGTTTATAATGGAATAAATTTAAATAGTTAAAGATAAAAAAATTCCTTAAGATCACTGCCAGCTGGTAGGGTACCTAGGAGACTTTGACTATTCCAAATTGTATCTGCATTTCAAACTTCATGACGATTGGTTAAGCCGTTAATAAACCAAGAGATAACTAGCAAATAAACTCACTTTCACATTTATAATAAAATAGATAGATAGCTATTTGCTCTTCGGAGGAAATATAATATATGTTATGTATGTACAGTATATGTATATTCCTAATTAAAAAGTTTTCCCTAGTTATTCGCCTACAAATTTTTCGGTTTGATCAATTGGTGACTGGTACAGAACACTGTCCGGTGTTAAGTCCGCTAATATACGTACATAGAATTTAACTGTGCATTAAAGTTCAAATAAATAAATAGATAGAGACTTTTTATTGTTACCTCCAAAAGATTACAATAGTAAACTTATTATAAATATAAACAATTACAAGAAATGATCACAGTGAGAAAACTATTGGCGACCTTATCGCTAAAAGCGATCTCTTCCAGACAACTTTTAGATGGAGAGGAGTAATTATAAACAGTTTAAAATACAATGCGTTTAAGATAAAATAAAATAAAAAAAAAAAAACAAATAATATAATAAAATGAGACATCCACAATAAATTCTATCGCTGTTTACCCCCATATCACCGGCGTTATAGCTTGCGAATGGGGTGCAGTTCCGTTTTACGGGACTCAATTCCATTAAAGTCCGTTTATGAGCCAACTGTAATGCCACTAAGCCGGCGGTGAATCTTGTAAGATTTTTAGTTAGGGTGTTCTGGTTTGGTATTTTTTTTTATTATAAACACAACGATTGGTGTAGATAGATAGATACTCTTTATTGTTTCCTCCAAAAGGTTACAATAGTAAACTTATTATAAATATAAACAATTACAAGAAATAATCACAATGCAGGTACCCATTTTTATTATATGTATTTGTATAAAAAATATTGTACACCGCTCTACCCGCTGACATTGATGTTCCTTTCCACTTTGGGTGTTGCTGGAAGAGAACTCTTTTAGAGTTAAGCTCGCCTTTGTACATTTAATTTCCTCTGTCATATTTTATGTATATTTTTTTTTTTACACAACTTAGAATGGCAAACAAGCTGACGGCTTTCGACGTTAATCGTCGCCTATAGACATGAGCAGTACTATGGACATAACAGAGTATACTGTTTCGCCCATGATACCCCCCCATGCGTTGCCATTCCTGAGGACTCAAGTGTTATTCCTCTGTACCCTGTAAATTCACGCCATATCCCACCCTTCAAACCGAAACACAGCCATGCAAACACATGCTTCACGGTAGTAACACGAATGGGACAGAGGTACCCAAGCAATGGACTTTTGTGCAAAGTCTCTCTCTGGTAGTTTGTACATATAATATTTTTATTCAATTTTTACTAAATATTGTTGAGTTTACCTTTAGCTGTACTATTTTAACCCTTGTATTCTACAGTTACATAAATCCAGTGAAATCCAGTAGAAGTGACGGAATTATGAAGTAAAAAAAAAAAACAGAAAAAATACAATCGAATTGAGAACCTATTTAGTTTGGAAGTCGGTTAAAAATACTTTATTTACTTATTACGATAGTAAACCAAATGAACCAAAATAACCGATACCTATACACCAAAGAATCAATAATCAGAAATAATCTTGAATAGATTGTTATATTTTATTTTATTTTTGTTTATTTTGTTTTGAAATGTTTTTTATTTGTTATTAATTAATCTATACGTATAATAAATCTGTAGAGAGGTCAATTCTGTACATGAAATATATTTCCAAAATAAATTTTATTGAATAATTAAAATATCAAAATCTTTTTGATATAAATTATTTTATAGAATAGAATAATTTTTAATTGTATTGTGTATAATATACATATAAACATAATCTAGGTATACTTATAATAAATCTGTAGAGAGGTCAATTCTGTACATGAAATATATTTCCACAATAACTGTCAAGGGGTGATTAGTGATCGATACTGATGCCAAAAATGCAATCAGTAAAATTTTGGTCTGTCTGTCTGTCTATATGTTCGTTATAGTAACAAAAACTACTCGACGGATTTTAACGAAACTTGGTACAATTTATTCTTCATACTCCTGGGCAGGTTATAGTTACTTTTCATCACGCTACGATCAATAGGGGCAGAGCAGTGAAGGGAAATGTTCGGAAAACGGGAGAAGTTACTCCATTTTTGAGCTTCCGTCGCGTGTGCAGCCTTAATGGCCACTTTTTAAAATGTAAAAATGTCCACCCGTGCGACGCCGGGACGGGCCGCTAAGTAAAAATATATTGATAAATTTGCTGAGTATTTTAAAACTTTTGCATATGTATTTGTATATTTATTGATCATTTGGTGTATATCGGTTATTTTAATTAATTTAGTTTTTTTTTAATGGGTGATAATGGAATGGTAACCCCGTCTATCGGGATACGCTGGCGGAGCACCAGTGAAGGGTGATAGGTGAGGATGAAGCAGATCAGTTGGCCCATTGTGACGAATTCAACAAGAATTGTTTACGATGGTTTCCAGGTGGAGGTCGATCTAATAGGGCATATTGCTAGCAATGGGGCTGTCAAACTCTATTGCTAACAATCCCTTTCCCCCCTATTAATTTAGTTTACTATCATCATAAGTAAATAAAGTATTTTCAACCGATTTCAAAACGAAACAGGTTCTCAATTCGATTGTATTTTTTTGTATCATGCTTCGGTTCCATAGGTCATCACTGCATTAATAGCTGTAAATCATTTTATACGTAAATCATGAATATGATCATTTTTTTTATACAACTTAGAATGGCTGACGGCCCACCTGATGGAAAGTGGTAACCGTCGCCTATAGACATGAGCAGTACCATGGACATAACAGAGTATACTGTTTCGCCCATGATACCACCCATGCGTTGCCATTTCTGAGGACTCAGGTGTTATTCCTCTGTACCCAGTAAATTCACGTCATTCAATTAAATTTCTCAGTTAATTACATGCCTAGATGAGGAACTGCAAGGAATATCGATTCCATTTATTTTCATTTATTCCGTTGTCTGTCTTCTCATAAACAAATCTTCTGTTTTGGAAGCATTAATTTTGAGTTTCCATGTTTTGAAAAATGTAAAGAGAAGATTGTGATTTGAAGATGTGATTGAGGAATAAAGTCTACTAATAACTAAGTCTGAAATCTGGTGAGATATAAAAGTATCATCAGCATAGCCAGCAAAGATTTTACCAGAGGGAGACTTTGTACAAAAGTCGTTTGCTCGGGCACCTCTGTTCCATTCGTGTTTCAACCGTGAAGCAGTTGTGTTTGCACGGCTGTGTTTCGGTTTGAAGGGTGGTATATGGCAGTGAATTTACAGGGTACAGAGGAATAATACCTGAGTCCTCGGGAATGGCAACGTATGAAAGATATCATGGCACTGCTCATGTCTATAGGCGACGGTTACCACTTTACATCAGGTGGGCCGTCAGCTTGTTTGCCATTCTAAGTTGCATAAAAAAAATATTAATAAGATCAGAACAACGCGTGAATGGATTGTAATTATGAAATATACTGGATGTTTACGAGTATCTTTATTCTAGTACTCTGCGCTAAAATCAAGATTTTGGCCAAAAATAAAACACCGACTATCTATATCTATAAAAATCTAGTTATTTTGATTTAAAAACAATTGTAGTAAACTGGTGGTCTACCATGAAATGTAATTCCGAAATTTTGGGCTCAATTTCGTGTTTTTGTTCGTATCAAAATCGACCCTGTAAATGGAGCTTAACATTTCGTTCATCATAAATCCTATCCTAATCGTTCAGAGGAACGATATTTTAACATTTTTAATAATTTTAAACAGCGTGTATTATGTAATTTTAACATCAAATTTCTGTTTCGTTTGTCCCCGAAATTTCGGAAAATATTTCATGGTAGGCCCTCTGTTTTATAATTTGTCATGAAGCTACTCTGTATGCATTATTAGGTCAACCTGAGAGGGTATATTGCTAACAATGAGGCTATTAAACCTCATTACTAACAATCCCTTTCCCCCCGGGAAAGGAAGGGGTGGCCCATTCTATACCGGAGCCACATGACATGACAAATATATTTATTAAAAATTTTCCTTTGTTGCAGGTCACAAAGATTCGTGCTCCGAGGAGAGTAAGCAGCACGAGATCAAACCGAACATCGAGCGACCGCACCATGCGCTCGGAGCGCGGTTACACATCGCACACAACATACGGGCTGAACACTTACAAGGTAATCCATTGATGCTATAGTTTGGCGAGATAATAAGAAGCTCTTCGAAGAAGCAGCAATGTAAAGCAACTGTGCGTCAATGTGTATGTGTGTGTGCAAAGTTATGTCAGGGTTGCCAGACGCAATGTCTCCAAATTTTGGAGACTCCAGTTTAAAATTATTTTTAATGTTTATTTATTGAAATAAATATAAATACCATTTTCTTTAAAATTATAAACAAGCACTAACATTTTATAATACCAACTGTTTTTACTATGTTTTAACTAGTAACTGTCATTAATTTATTTAATTCTCTAGTATATATACTTAAAAAAAGCCAAAACTAAACTACCAAAACGCTCTGTGACATTTTTTTTTCTTCAAATATTTCAACAATTCACTTTTCTCACCATTTCTCCAAATGCTAAATATTTTGCCAAAATTGCAAAAAAAAAATAACAAAAAATCTGGCAAGATTGAGGTAATATTATTTAATTTTATTAAAGACTTTATAACAATGTAGTGATCTATTCATTGAGTGAGTTACAATTGAAAACAGGCTCTGAAGGGCTAGAACCCAGTGCCGTAGAAACCAATAAAAAAACTCTGGGAAGCATTTCATTGGTTGATTAATTGAAAGAATTTATCAAAAATATATTGTAATGCGTATTATTTCTGCGTAACTAGGGAAGCGCGAATCCGAATGATTTTGCTACTCTAGCTACTACTAAATCGCTATAACAACGTCACAGTAGGATGAATAAAATTAGTAATCGAATGATTTGAAAATCATTCGAATGATTTGGTCAATCGAATAATTAGTAGTCGAATTTTTTTTATGGGTGAAAATGGAATGGTAACCCTGCCTGCGCTAACGGGATACGCTGGCGGAGCACCAGTGAAGGGTGATAGATGAGAATGAAAACAGGCCAGTTAGTCCATCATGATGAATTCATCAGGAATTAATCATGATAGTTTCCAGGGAGAACCGCGAGGAGGTCGACCTGGTTGCGTATATTGCTAGCAGTGGAATTCTCAGTTTCCATTACTAACAATCCCTTTCTCCCCTAATAATTATGTTAGGTATATAATTAAAAAACGAGGTCATGTTTTTTATCAATTGGCATACTTTGTTTATTATGATAACAATCTGGTTATTATTTCCTACGTTAGATCTAGCTGCACAAAGTCGTTTGTTTGGGTACGTCTGTCTCATTCGTGTTTCTGCTGTGAAGCAATTGTGTTTGTATGGCTGTGTTTCGGTTTGAAGGGTGGGATATGGTAGTGAATTTGCAGGGTAACACCTGAGTCCTCAGGAATGGCAACGCATGGAGGTATCATGGGCAAAAGAGTATACTCTGTTATGCCCATGGTACTGCTCATGTCTATAGGCGACTTTCCATCAGGTGGGCCGTCAACTTGTTTGGCATTCTAAGTTGCATAAAAAAAAGTTTGATTATTTTCAAACTGTGGGTGCTGTAAGAGGCGACTAAGGGAACTTAATCGTTGAAAGATGGGCAGCAGCGTTCTTCTTACTCTTTCACTCTTACCTCTTTCACTAATAGTCAAACTGCTGTTGCCAATCCGTTTGCCAAGCGTGACAACTCCTGGCAAGCTCCTCCTAATGAAAAACTTTCGTAAGGAACAAGCCCGTTCCTTATGGTAGTCTACGAGGGAACCCTGTTTGATAGTGAATAAATAACACCTGAGTCCTCAAGAATGGTAACGCATGGAGGGTATCATGGGCGAAACAGTAAACAGTATGTTATGTGCATGGTACTGCTCATGTCTATAGGCGACGGTTACCACTTTCCATCAGGTGGGCCATCAGCTTGTTTGCCATTCTAAGTTGTATAAAAAAAAAAAAAAGAAAATGTTGATGAGAAATATGTAAATTATTATGATTTTTATGTTCAGGTGGCATCCACCAGCAACACAGTGGCGGGCATATGGCGACGGTGCCAGTCAGCATGTCCTCGTCAGCATCAGACAGCGATAAGCCCGCCAAGCAGAAGAGGCACAGGACAAGGTAATATTTCAAGCAGGGGCTTGATTCTCTTAAAAATATCGTTTAATTTAAAAAGTCCTGAGAATTATGGTGTTATATCTTCATCTATGGAGTCATAACGCCATAGTTAGTCCATATCCTCTAATTTTACTGCCATATCTGGGTAATGTTATTTAGATAAGGCATCTCTCTACAAACGCTTAGTCAAAAAAATCTCCATTTTTTTATTTTTGTATGATTATATATATATATATATATATATATATATATATATATATATATATATATATATATATATATATATATACTATACATATATATATATATACATATATATATTTAAAATTTTTGTCATAAACTATTTATGCAAAAAAAGTAAATAATTTTTATCTTTTTCTTTGTGTGCCGCCAAAGTTTGAAATCGTTAATATATTAACAAAAAAAAGGTTGAGAATCACTGGACTAGAGACTTAATTTAGGCGATTTGTGAAAGCATGTTTTTTTTTGCTGGGTGAAAATGGTGATAGATGAGAATGAAAACAGTATATAATTCATCAGTTATATAGTTTCCACCGCGAGAGAATTAATTTAGGAGATTTGTGATTGCATGTTTGGATAGACATTATTGTTATTATTCGAAGTATATAAAAAATGCTTTACTTTGTTAAAAAAAAAGACATATATGAGTGAATAATTCGCTGTTTTTTTTTTCGATGTTCTGTCTAGAATGTGTATATCTATAAAATCTTGGCGCCTTCACCAGATTTGTGCTCGAGTAAACATCTCAGTACTTACTCATGTGAGAACCAGTTCTTATTTACTTATATGTCTGTCTCTTTCCAACACAGGTTCACGCCCGCACAATTGAACGAGTTAGAACGATGTTTTTCCAAGACACACTATCCTGATATTTTTATGCGGGAGGAGATAGCCATGAGGATCGGCCTGACCGAAAGCCGAGTTCAGGTTAGTCATGCAATTACGACTTTATCTGTGAGTCATTGATCACTTTTTCCTGTGCAAATTGCAGGAAATTTATACAAAATGAGAATAAAAATTATAGTGAGAAAAATTTCGATGCACACATACAAAACAAAAGCCTTTTTGCATCTAGGTTTTCTGAATGATTTTTTTTTATATTAGATTTGTGCGCATTTGACCACAATTTTATTTTAATCACCGATATCGACTGAAGAGGTGGTCTAATTGAATCTTAGTAAATATTAATCCCTTTATAAATACATCAAACTTCTCATAAACCTATTTTAGCTTTTAAATTGCTTTTTCCCTTTTTTTCACACAAAAATCCCAATTTGAATGAATGAATGAGTATACTTTATTTGCATTATACAATATAGGAAATAAGACAATTTACAAACACAACGATACAATTGTATAAGTACAGTAAGGCGGTCTTGTTGCTGAGAGCAATCTTTTCAAGACAACCTTAAGGTGGATGTTATGGACTAATTGTTGTACAAGTAGGTGTGATAGTACTGTATAATTAAAGATAGTAACAGAATAGTATGATAGTTAAAAAAGTTTTGTAGAAGTTTAAGTTTTTTGTGAATTAGAGATTAGTTTTTATATATGTCTTCAGATAGCACGGTGATATCTGCGAGTCATTTCTTAGTAATTTTAAGATCGTAATCCTCACTAATGACCAAAGATTGGCATTTTTTTTTTATTTTTGTTGTACTACCAGATTCAGTGCTTAATATTGGCCGTTGACCCATTCTTTGAAATCGGTATCGGTATTATATTCTCAGTTATAGTAGAAATAATATGTCCTTCTCTTCTGGGGATTTATAGTGAGCCATTCCCAGCAGTGGGATTTTAATAGAATCTTTAATAGATTATTACTATAGCAATATTGTTTTATACATTTTTATACATCTTTAAAACAGCCCAACTATATTTTTACAGTCGTATTTTGTTTTTAAATGCAATTACTTTCTTTAAAATATAAAAATATATATAAAAGGCCAGCAGCACACCTGCAATGCAAAGGTAGTCACTTACCATCAGGTGAGCCGCATGCTCGTTTGCCCCCTGTGTTGAAAAAAAAAAACATAAACTTCGAATTGAGCTACCAGTACATATTTATACTAAACTAAAACGTGTCAGTGAGCCTGTTCAAATAATATTAGAAAGAAAACCGTTAGTTCACATCCGTCGATAATATTAAACGCCTAAAACGCACTTAAAAAATAAAGGTCCAAGTACACCACCTTGCGGGATGCTCTTCGCACGTTGCATATAAAACTTGCACTATATTGATACATTTCACAAGACCTTCTACCTGATTCAACCTTCACAATAACGTGAACAACCTTCGCTTCACGCTTCAAATTCTTTTACGTGTGAGTTATGATCGTTTGAGATCTATTGAATTGGGTGGTCGACTCAGTCAAACGCTTACAGAAAATTTTACGACCTTTGACATGGTATTTGTATTTTTTGAGTTCATATTAAACTTATTGATTTTATAAAACGAAAAATAATTTAGAAGCCATTCAAAAATATAAAAATATGGTATTAATGGCGACATCAGTAGTTTTATATTCATAATGTAGAAGTTGAAGAATCAATAATAAATAATTGTATTGATCGAAAATCATTTGTCCATTGCAAATTAAATAATCCTATGGATCTAAGTACAATGGTAATACATGAAGTATATGAGATGGTGGAACACAATATTCTGTACTTTACATGGCATTATTAATATGTATATAATTTATTTTTTTTATTTATATATCAAGTGATATGATGAGCTATCAAATGAGATACCAAAGCAGAGTTGTAAAAAAAGAAATTGTACCTATTCAAATAAGGGAATTGTAAATATTCTTTGCACAATACTGTAAACATTTATTAAGTAGGCAACAGTAGACAAATTAAGTTAAAGATCGTCAAATAACACATTTGTGATTTATAGATCTAATTTTCACTGTTGTAAAACTACAAAAGATTAACTAACACCCGTGATCGTAAACCATCTAATTCTATCGACTAACTGCTTTTCTAATCTGCTAACAGTTACTTTGTATAAGCACTTAGTTTCAAGTTAAACTATACTTTACATTAGACATTAGGTTAATTTGTGTCGTGTGTTGACCAATATTTGTATTTCGTTAACGCTCGTGACATACGGAGTGTTAGGGCGACGAATTATTTCTAGTTTACAAGTTCTGTTTATTATTTCGCATCATTGTTAAGTTTTTATTTTCTTAATTTCAAACACAGTAATTCTTAAACTTAGTCAACACTATACAAATTTAATGTTCTTGTTGCGTTAGGCAAAATGTGGACATATTGAGTTTACAACAATGGCAACAGTCTGACTTAAGAATCTTTGTTGTGAGTTAATTTATTTTATAAAGTTTTTTGTCTTTGGTAGAATTTCAATTAATCTTATATAATGCAATATTTTATTAATCATATAGAATACGTGCGAAATTTTCTAACGATGGATGATTGAATCTATGGATAGATATTTGTTACTCTTTCATACAAAAATTACTTAACAGATTTGAATAAAATTTGGTACACAGCTAGGTTATATTCTAAATTAGCACATACAATACTTTATGTAGTGATCTACGCGGGTAGAGCCACGAGATACAAGTAGTTATAAATAAATAAAATATTGCAATTTGAAAATGCTTTCCTGTAGTAAATACATATTAAATAGACGACGTCTGTAAAGAATGTTCATAAAGAAATAATCAAAGACATTGCTTTAGACTTTCCCTTCAGTACGTTAGACTAGAATATGCGCTAAATGTGGACATGTTCAATACTGTGTTAAATACAACAGTATAGATTAAATAATAGTTCTTCTATGGTTCAATAATAGTCGACAAATATTTAGAACTTCCCTATTACGATAGTGTGAGAGTATTTATAGAAATAATTATTAAATATAACAATACTCTTAATGGATAGAGGCCGAAGCCGATACAAGTGTACCCAAACTTATTTGATAGCTTTAATGTATATAAAACTGTAATTAATTTGTTTAATATTAGAATAGTTTGTATAATAATTTACATTTAAATTTGATATCAAATCTCTAACAAGTTCGCCAACTTGTTGTATCATAAACCTGACAGTGTGTTACTAGTTAAGACTCTTGTTTTAATACGTGAAAATTGTTTATGTATCGATATATTTTTGTAGTGAATCCTTTCACTATTTTTTTAATATTTTGAAATGTAGAGCTCTATTTCAAAACGATTGATAAGAAAGATGCATTGATTGATGGGGTTTAAAATGACTAGTTCAATGGAAAAACATCCAAATAGAATGTAACATAAAATTCTTTGACAATACGTAACATATTGCTGTTAATACCTACCTAATAATTTTAAAATTCTTAATGTTTTTAGTTTTTAATCTAAACATAGAAAAAACTGATTTGCAGTAATGAGAAGTAGGGAGCTTTATTGGTTGTGTTGATTATGTATTATGAGAAATTAACTTTATAAAGACTTTAAACCTTATTGCTTGTATTGCTGTTGAATCTAGAAACTATTTTAATATCAGAATATGAACACACGACCAAATTTATCATCGCACCGTTCGCCATCGACAGGAATTTCATTCTCACACGCTTGAAACTAAATGGTCGCGTACAGTGCGGTCTCAGAGGAATTTTCTCCCGCGAACGCTCAAGCTGTAGAATGAGATCCGTGCCGAGGTTTTCCCTGAAGACTACAGTGTGGGATTTTTTAAATAAGGTGTGATAAGGTTTCTTCAGAGTCGGCAACGCGCACGTGACAACCCTAATGCTACAGGCGGGGGAAGGGGTTATTAGTAATACGGACTACCAGTCGTATTGCTAGCAATATACCCTGTCAGGTCGGCCTCCACGTGGCTCCCCTTGGAAATCATCGTGCTGATTCCCAGGTGTATTTGTCACGATGGACTAACCGATCTGCCTTTATATTCTCACCTGTCATCCTTGACTGATGCCCCGTCAGTGTATACCGTTAACGCGGGCGGGGTTGCCATTCCGTTATCATCTATTAAAAAATAAAGTGTTACAGGTGTCCATAGGTTACAGTGACTGTTTACCATCAGACGGGCTTGTTTGCCACATTCGTGGTATAAACAAAATAAACCCGGAACTTTATACAGGCATATTTATGTTACTTACTAAGTACATATTACATCACAAATCACAATATTCCAAAGCCGAAGATTTTGTTAAAAAAAAAAACCGAAAATCGAAATAAAACAAACAACACTAACGTCGTGTAAAAAATATACGAGTAGCGTCCACAAATAAGTACGACGTTTAAAAAATAATAAAAAAAAAAGAACAATAAAAAGCGAGAGAATCTCGCGGTGTGGCGCGAAGTGCCCGTGGTACAGTCAAAAATGAACAAAAATATGTTTGTCTGTTTGCCTCAGTGTGGTCAGCAGACGTAGACAATCGGCTACTGTACTGTACAGTTTTAATTAACCGTGTGAAGTTTTATTTATAGGCTTTTGTGGATTGTGTTAGAAATAATGTGGCTATTGATTCGTAGTTCGGCTATATCATAATACGGGGTTCTTGTATCATTTTATTACTGGGTAAGTGTTTTATGTCGAAGTTAGATAGTGTACACAGAATTTAAAGATACTATTATTTAAATTAACTGCTTTTAACATAATACTTATTGTGGTGAATTATTATTTATACTGTATGTTTAATTAATTAATGAAATATATTATTTATACATCATTTATGTAAGTATCTATATAATACCATTTTACCTTCGGCTGTTAAATTGGCTACACAGGTTACACTCTGGGTTTGTTGTACGCGTCCGTGTAGCCTAACTTCAGGCTGCAGCTGAAAATCAGTGCTTTGCTTTTAAGCAAAACTATCACTGAGCTGTAGCCTATTTGGGCCACTGCGACACACTTGGTGAAAACATATTTCCATATTTCATCTTTTGTTTTATATTAAA